AAATAAGCCAGTCACAAAAAGACATTCTGTATGATTCCACTTATATGAGGTATTGGGAGTAAAATGGTTTCTAGGAGCTGGGGGGGAGGGGGAAATAGAGAGTTATTCTTTAATGGGTACTATTTTAAGTTTTACGAGATGAAAAGAGTTATGTTGGTGATAGTTGCACAGCATTATAATGTATTTAATACCACTAAACTGTACACTTAAAATGGTTAGGATGGTAAATTATATGTCATATATATTTTATCACAGTAAAAAAAAAAAAAGAGAAAAAAAAAAGAGGTGATGTTGCAGCCTTGAGTCCAAAGGTGGAAACTCAGCAGAATTTCTAGGTTACAGTCTGGAGGCAAAATTCCTTAGTTCCTTCTTCTCCCAGAAACCTCAGCCTTTGCCCTTAAGACTGATTGGATAAGACCCACCCACATGACGGATGATAATCTACTTTATTCACAGTCTACTGATTTAAAAAATGTTAATCACATCTTAAAAATATATATATCTGCACAGCAACATCCAGACTTGTATTTGATCAAACAACTGGGCACCACAGCCTCGCCCCATGCCATTAGCCATCACGGGACTTCTGTGGAATCAGGGAGATCAGCAAGGTGACAGTGAGGATAATCCAGATGAGTAATAACGGTAGTTTGAGCCAGAGTGGGAAGCAGAAGGGGTGATGAGAAATGGTCAGATTCTGGATATATTTTGAAGGTCAAGCTGACAGAATTTGCTAGTAAACTAGAGGTGGGGTATGAGAGAAAATGAGAAGAACAGGATGACTCCAAAGCGCTTGGCCTGAGCAGTTGAAAGACTGTTTCCATCACCTAAAATGGGGGAGGCTCCGAGGGAGCAGTTTGCAGAAAGAAGGAAGGAAAATCAGGAGTTCTATTTCAGACCTGTTATGTTGGGATGCTCACCAAACATTCAACTACAGGTGCTGAATAGACAGTCAGCTAGAGGAGTCTCCAGTTTAGAGATGTCTAAGGTGGAGACAGAAGCGAAGGAGTTCCAGCATATAGATATAGTGTTAAAACCACGAGACTGATGGCCTCAACTACAGCCACTGTGGTAGAGTGATGGGGTCAAAAGCTTGGCTGGAGGTGCTTCAAGAAAGAATGAGAACAAGAGGTGGTAAAAAATCTATAGACAATTCATTCTAAGGCTTTTGCTATAAAAAGAAGGAGGACAATAGGGTAGTGGGGTCCGTGGGGTTTTTAAAATTAGATTTATAATAGCATCTTTATACGCTAATGGAAGTGTTTCAGTAGACAGATTCCAAGTCAAGGACTTCAATGAATGACATTATGTGCCAGGAGCTATGCTAAGCACTTTACCGGTATGTGGCTCTTCTTAATCATCACAGCAAGCCAATGAGGTAGGAACTGTTGTTATTCCCACTTCACAGCTGAGAAGACTGAGGAATAGAGAGTTAAACTCCCTGTCAAAGTCACACAACTGGAAATGAGCAGAGTGAGAATCTGAACTCAGGAACCATGAACCATCTCCCTACACAGACTCTACACTTTAGCTCCCCATTTGTGGAACCCATTAAGGATATGATATGCTATCTCAGAAGTTTTGTTTAAAACACTAATGAATTTTATGGGGAAAGCTCTGCCTTATAATGGTGTTTGCAAAATTGGAGATTCTCAAAGGAGAGCGTCCCTCTCAAATGTTAAAGGCTGATGTTTTGGATTTTCAGAACACAGCCCGCTCTCTCTTACCTTCGTCACCTTGCGTGTTTGGTTCTGAATGGCCCCCCTGGGTGAACTCCAGACAAGCGCTGTCACCTCTCTGAAGTTCTCTTCAGTCCATCCCCAGACACTCTGCCTATGTGACATTGTAGTATAATCTCCACATTTGTTCCTATATGTGTCTCAGCTGCCAGGCTGTGCACACTTGCGGGAAAGGATCTAAGCTGATTTTGAGTGTCAGGGCCTGCTACTTGGAAAGCTCTCAGGACATCTTTGTCAAAGGATTGATTGATCCAAATTAGATAAAGTTGACACTCCCTTGTTCTCATAGATCAGAGATTCCCAATGAAGAGAGGAGAGATATTCTCCCCCCCCCCCTGCCACACACACACACACACACACCCAGGAACATCTGGCAATATCTGGAGGCATTTTTTTGTTGTCACAACTAAGGTTGGGGGTTGCTACTCATGTCTGGTGGATAGAAGCCAGAGATGCTATTAAATAGTCTACATTTCAGAGAACAGCCCCCCTCCACCTCCCCACAACAGAGAATTTTCTGGCCCAAATGTCAACAGTGCTGAGGATAAGAAACATAGATTAAAATGGAAAAATGAAGTTCTAAGATACATACCAAAAAGCATTTCTTCTGTTATTTTGCTCATTCTGATTATTCCTAGGCTAGGGTAAGGCGGGTGCTTATTTCATCAGATTGTGGGTTCCTTCTCCAGCAGCTGCAGCCTAAACATCTTGCTCCCAAACTGAAATAGTTCCCTGAATCAAAGAGGCACTAGCCCATTACTCTCAGAATTAGGTTACATCTCCCCCAAATCCAGTGCTGAAAACAGCTCTTAACTTCTTGTCTTTCCACCTTTCTGAATTCCCTCAGGAATTTACAGAACATTTAACAATAAATACACAAATACTCATTTCCCACCCATTCTAGACTACATGGGTCACCACTGCTGGTAATCTCTACGCCAATACGCTCTAAGGCCACCAGATTCTAAAAATCTATAAAAGTTTTTTCCCCAAGCGTGCTCCCATCGCCAACCAAAGAAACAGGAAACAGAGAAAGTATTCCTTGGATTCAGCTCCCTCCCTGGCAAATACACAGAAATACTGGGTAAATATTTTAACAATATTTATCAAGTTAAAAACAAAGAGAAAGCTCTAGGTGCCAGAAATGAGGAGGGGGCCCCTTGGCACTGAGCAGAATTGGAATTTCATGACCCAAGGAGTAAGCAAAACTGACATCAGGTTTTCTTACAACTTAGGGACTGAAGCGTGTGGGAAAGGGGGACCAGAGCAGAGGCCATAGGCTCTGTATAGTGGGGAAACTGAATGGGCTCCCTGGACAAAGATGGGAGTTGGAGAAATTTTTGTGTACAGTTCAAGGGCTTGGCTTGGAAGCAAGGGCCAATCCCTGTTATTGATAGAAGAATCAGCCTTGAACAATCAGAACTCCCAGGCTGCTCCATGCAGCTGCGTGGCCAGAGAGAGAAGAGAGAGAGAGAGAGAGAGAGAGAGAGAGAGAGAGAGAGAGAGAGAGAGAGAAATAGAGTTGAGAAACTGGCAAATCTTAGGACCCTGTCAGATGTGAACTCAAAACTGAGCGGAAGGGCTGTCTCTGTAGTGCAGGTATGCACAGCACACTTGAAGAAGATAATTTCCACTTCAGATGAGCCAAAAACAAATAAGGAAATGCAATTTTCTCAGAGATAACCAACAGGTACAAAAATAGGAGAAATGATATCCAAAGAGCTATAAATGTTAGATTAATCTGAAAGCGATTTTAAAATTAATATGTTTAAAATGTCATCAAGGTGAGGAAGAAATAGAATTCATTAGGCGAAATGGAGCACTTTGATGAAACGAACAGAGAGATTTGTAAGGTAACCAAATAGAAAGTCGAATAATGCAACACTATTTTGAAAACTAGAACCAGATGGTAGAGAAAGCAGCAGCTAGAAAGAGCTTAAAAGCCACCAAAACAATAAACTACAAATCATTGATATTACTGGATTACTGAGGAGTTAAATAAGATATAAACATTTAAAAATATTTAAATTTTCCAAAATAGGCTCTCGTGACATGGTCCTTTCCCATCAGGTAGCTGATCTATAAATACTTTTCCGCCAGCTTCTGTGACCCTCTTACCACTTCAGGTTATTGGAACTATCTCATTTTGATAGAGTAGCCCCCACTTATCCAGGGGGAAATATGTTCCAAGACCCCCAGTGGATGCCTGAAACTGGGGATAATACCAAACCCTATATACATTATGTTTTTCTTATACATACGTACCTATGATAAAGTTTAATTTTTAGGTTAGACACAGTAAGAGATTAACAATAACTAATAATAAAATGAACAATTATAACAGGTCTGTCTCCCTCTCTCTGTCTCTCTCTGTCTCTCTCTGTCTCTCTCTCTCTCTCTCTCTCTCTCTCTCTCTCTCTCTCTCTCTCAACTAACCTGGTAACCAAGATGGCTACTAAGTTACTAAGTGACTAATGGGCGGCAGCATATGCAGCGTGGATATGCTGGACAAAGGGATGATTTCACGTCCTGAGTGGTATGGAGCTGGACAGCGTGAGATTTCATCACACTACTCATAACAGTGCACAATTTAAAACTTATTGTTTGTTGCTGGAATTTTCCATTTAATATTTTCAGACCGTGGTTAGCCGCGGGTCACTAAAGCTGCAGGAAGCAAAACCTGTGGATAAGGGGGACTGCTTTATTTAAGACTCAATCTTCCTTATTCTAAAACTTCATTCCAATCTCAGCTCTTCCTCTCAGTTCTAGGATGAGAATAAATGAAGTCAGCTCTTTACACTGTTTTCCTTTTTTTTTTTTTTTTTTCTGCCTTAGAACTTTCTCCTCCACCCTTAAGACTCCGGGCCAAACTCTTACATACTTCTGGTGGCCTCTGCTTCTGGGTGTTCTACTCACAGATGGTGCTCCAGGTTTTCTTAAGGTGGTGTTCGGCTTTACTCCAGCCCCTCTGTTGTTGAATCCCTTTCCCCAAGGGGCAGCTGTATCTCCCTTGGGACCCGTGCGTGAACTATGATACTTCCGCTGGGCATCCCATCCTGTAACCCAGAGGCCACTTGGCAGCCCCACAGCGCCTGCCTCTCTCTCCACTACCCTTTGAGCTCCTTCGTGTGAACACAGGGATCCCCTTCCATATCCTTCCAGGACCATAGATAGGGTGGGGGGTTCCCTTCTTTTCCTCCCAAGCATACTTGCTGTTCATCGATTTGGGAATGCTGAGTGCTTAGTGCTTGTCGTGCTTACCTTTTGGCGTAGCCACGATTCTGGGACAACAGGAAAAGTCCCACTCAGCATCCTGCGCTTCCACACTGTGCCATGTCCACACTGGCAGGAAACCAGGGCTCGGGGAGGTCAAATAACTTGCCAAACTAGAAGCCTGGAGATCTTGGATCCAAATAGAAATCTTTCTGACTCCAACGCCAATGCTTTCCACCATGTTTTGATGTAAAAGAGGATATTCTAAGTCTAGAAAAGATTTGGAGGAAATTAAACAAATTCCTACCCTGGGATAATTACAATAAAACTGCAGCAGGAACAAAGCATTAGAGGGAAAAGCAAAGGGCTTGTAAGCCATAGTTGCTTGTGGCACCCAAGCTTCACGCCCAGAGTCCTCTGAGCTGAGGGATTCGGGGCAGCAAGATGATTAGAGGTGGAAGGGCGGGGGCTTCTGGAGGAATGAGAGCAGGAAGGGAGAGGAACGGAGTGTCTCTCATGCTTTTGAAGGTAGGTGCCAAAGGAGAGGAGGCAGGGAACCATGTCTCCTGCTATCTCTAGGAGTAAAGGGTCCTCCTAGTTTTCTTCCAGGTTGATTACGTAGCTCGGGGTACAAGGAGTGAGCGGAGGCAGGCAGCCAGCACAGCAGCTCTGCCCAGGAGTGAATACTGTACCTTAGACCGGCATTTCCTTTAAACACTCATCTAGGAAGTTGAGCATGGACGACTCGTTCCAGGAAGGTGAGAAATGACCATCTTCCTTACAGTCCAGAGCCCACGGGTAGAGCAGGCATTCATATCCACAATTTGCTGATGAGGAAATCCAGGCTCAAGAGAGTGAGCATGACTTGCCCAAAGATACACCGCTGGTAAGAAACAGAGGCAGGACTTAATCCAGGTTGTCAAGACGAGCGTTTCACCCACTTCTCCAAGCTGCCTGCCTTCTCTCCTGGACCTTTCTTCCTGTGTCCCTCTTGGGTTTTACTTCTTAGCAAAGGAGATATGGGGGTGGGGGGGAGGAGAGGGTAGACAAGTAGAGAACACAAGTGATACTAAAAGGAAACAATATATGTAAAAACACTTTGAAAACTGTAAAGCCATATAAATGCAAGGAGGTGTTACTATTATATTTAGGGTATAAATGGTTTATGTAATAACATTATCCTTTCCCATGATGGCTTTTCATTTCCCCTCTTCCCTGAGAATTGAGCATTAAGACAGGGCAAATGTGATCAAGGCTAGACAAAGGAATGCTTAAATTGGAACATGATAAAGAAAGATTGCAGGGACCTTCTGGCAAAGAAATTGGGGAGGGGTCCATCTCTCTAGGTGACTTCTGAAAGCAAAATAGACCATGAAAGCAGGTTGGGGAAGAAATACTGATCATTCAATGAGGAACTATCAAAAAATGGTTTTTCATGACGGTAACACTCTGATTTCTTAAAAGTGATTTCATTGGGGTTACCACCTACCCAGCCAAGAAGGAATATTGGAGGAGGGGAAAAAAAACAAAAGCTTATGAAAGAATTTATCTGCCCCATGGCCGACCTCGGGGTCATGTGTGAAATGAAGAAAATAGCATTAACCCAAAGGGAAAGCTCTGAGTCAGAGATACCTGGGCTTTCCCCCAGAATCCTCAGTTAGCTAAAAAGGGAAACAACACAATTTCATTTAAGGATGTTTTTAATGAGAAACTAGGCCAATCATCATCTAGCTGCTGAAGGCCATCTATTGAAGGAAATGGGGCGTGTTTACCATACTCAGACACATGTGTTTTTGAGTGGTTATCTAAATATGACCCCTAGTGTCCAACTTGTGTGGCACTCACACAGGAAAATCCAGGTGATTTGATGGGCTGGAAACCATAGGGCCATGAAGTGTCAGAGCTGGAAAGCATCAGAGAGCATCTGGTCCAGTTTCCTGTTTTACAGATGAGTAACTAGGGCCCAAGAGTGATTAAGTGACTTGTCCAGGGTCAATCACATAAATAGTGGCAGAGCTGGAATTGAACCCAGGTCTTCTAAATCCTGGTCCAGTTCTATTTCCTATACTCTTGAGAATATTTCCCATAAAATGCAGTTGGCTTTGTGTAGCTCATTATAGGACCTTTCTATGGAAGATCATGAAAACTAAGTGTTTATTTCCTGTGGGCTAAATTATAAAGAGGATATTGACATCATTTATTTGATCTACAGCAGCACTAATCAGTAACTGAATCTTAAATTGTTCATGTTAAGAATTGTTAAAAAGATTTCAAACTCTTTCCATATTTTCCCCATTACACACCACACATTTCAGTGACAGATGATGCCATTTCTTCTCAGCCCAAAGTTCACAGTGATTTTCAAAGGAAAGTAATTACACCCTGTAATGGGAACAATCAGTCAGGGTGGAAATCAAATGGCCCAAGTCTCCCGAGATTTCCTGCTACGGCCATTTGTGTGGGCAGCTGTTATTTTTCATCTATTTCCTGTCCTTCTGCTCACAGCCTGCTGAGTGAAGCCAGAGGGCATCATGCCACCATGCACACTGGTTCTCCTACAGACCCAGAGGATCAAACCTCAGCTGGCTCCTCGGAAGGTCACTCCCTCTCAAGTTTCTTCCAACAGCTCTTCCACCTTCCAGTGTCCTCAAGCTCTCATCCCCTCTCAATTCCCTCAGTCTGTAGAATGATCTTGCCCCAATTTCACTGAAAAATAATCAGTCATTCAACATGACGAAACAAAACTTCCCTTTTCACTCTAATACATGGTCTGACAATTAAGTTCGCGAACTTGTTGCAATGCTGCTAACTTTTTTTGGTATCAGAGGGATTATTCGTTATGAATTTGCACCAACTGGACAGACAGTTAACCAGGTTTACTAGTTGGGAGTGCTGAAAAGGCTGCGTGAAAAAGTTAGATGACCTGAACTTTTCACCAACAATTCATGGCTCTTGCATCACGACAATGCACCAGCTCACACGGCACTGTCTGTGAGGGAGTTTTTAGCCAGTAAACAAATAACTGTATTGGAACACACTCCTCACTCACCTGATCTGGCCCCCAATGACTTCTTTCTTTACCCAAAGTGAAAGGAAATATTGAAAGGAAGACATTTTGATGACATTCAGGACATCAAGGATAATACGATGACAGCTCTGATGGCCATTCCAGAAAAAGAGTTCCAAAATTGCTTTGAAGGGTGGACTACGCACTGGTGTCAGTGCATAGCTTCCCAAGGGGAGTACTTCGAAGGTGACCATAGTGATATTAAGCAACGAGGCATGTAGCACTTTTTCTAGGATGAGTTCGCAAACTTAATTGTCTGACCTTATGTTTCTTGATCTTCAATTTTTTTCCAAAGGAAGAAAGGTTCCTTTTCTTTTCAAAGTCTAATCATCTATTTGTGCTCCTTCCTGGAACATTTATCAACATTCTCCTCTTCAGTTCCATTTTCTCTTCTCTTTCTGATTCCTCTCTTGCCTAAAAAAAAAAATGCCCAAATTTCCCTTAAACTAAGAAAACAAAGTTTTGGCCAATTCCTCTTAAACGAAACCCCATCACTACACTTCCTTCTATTCCCAAACTTGATATACTCTCATCATCTCCTTAAGTCCTTCTAGCCTCAATTTTATTCCAATAGTCTCCTGAAATCGTTTTTCTAGAAAATTAAAATAATGGAAATGTAATCACTAGACCCAATGGCCTATTCTTAGTTTTCAATTTTCCTTGATCTTACTGCAGGGTTTTGTTCACTCAGGAAGTATTTACTAAACACCTATTTTGGCAAGGCCCTGAGCTGAGTCCTGTGGGGAATAAAGATGAGTGATACCCTGCCAAAAGTTCACAAACTATTAGAAGAAATAAATACAGAAATCCATCAAGTGAGTGCTTTTTCCTTATAGTCCCAGCAATTTGGTTATATAATTCAATGGAATTTTTCACATTACTTGTGTACATGTCTAAATCTCAATTCAGAGTATAAGTTCCTTGAGGAAAGGGACTTTTTCTTCTGTTTCCAATTGTTCCCTGCATAGAACTGTGGCCCTGGTAAGTGTTTGTGGTAGTCACCTCTGAGAGGGCTCCAAAGATCCTCACCTTATGGGATTTAAACCACGTGTAGTCTCTTCCCTTACTGAATATCAGTGACCTATGTCACCAATAGGGATATTAAGGAAGTGATGGTTTGTGACTTTTGAAGCTAGGTCACAAAAGACCTCACAGCTTTGTCTTGCTCTTTCTTGGATCACTTACTCTAGGAGAAGCCTGCTGCCATGTCATGAGAACACTCAGGCAGATCTATGACTGAGGCCTCTTGCCAATAGCCAAGTGAACCATCGTGGAAATAGAACCTCTAGCCCCAGTCAAGCCTCCTGATGACTGCAGCCCTCACTGACATCTTGATGCCAATATTATGAGAGAACCTGAGCCAGGATTTCCCAGGTAATTCTTAACCCACAGAAACTGTGTGATGATACATGCTTCTTGTCTTATGATGTTAAGTTTTTGAGTAACTTGTTGTATGACAATAGATTCATTTGGATTTTGGTACCTGAAAGGGCAATAGTACTGCTATAATAAAACTATAAAACATGGAAGTGGCCTTGGAACCCGGAAGCAGGCAGAAATGGAAAGAACTTAGAAGAAGCTGTTAGAGAAGCCTGAAGAACCTTAAAGGGTCAGATAGTAGAAGCTTGATAGCCTTTGAGGAGGCTATGGGGTGAGGGCTTAAAGGAAAATGTCATTGGAAATTAGAGGAAATACAATCCTCCTTATGAAGTGGCAACATTGAAAACACAGTGGAAAATAGAAAATACACCCGATAAACTGGTATATCTATCTAAGGAGACTTCCAGTCAGAATGTTGAAGGTGCTGCCTGGTTTCTTCTTGCTGCTTATAGTAAAATTTAAGAAGAGAGAGATAAACTAAAGGAAGGACAGGCAAACAAAACGAACCCAGGAAGCGTTATATCTAAAGTTTCCCAGTTTGCTCTTCTGGGCATATTCTCAAAAAAACATAGTCTAAAGATGAAGCCAAGAAATTGACTATAAAATCCTTTGTTAAGATCTAAGAAAGATCCAAAGTTGTGCTTGGGGAACTATTCAGTGAAACAATGGGGCTTCTAAAATGTTTATGGTTGTTGTCCCCCAACAGTCTCAGAGAAGCTCAAATTATTTTGAAGTAATTTGTGGATGTCGTTTTTATCTAATGGAATGAACCTCAATAGAATTACAAAAGCTCACAAACAGACCCATAGATTGTATTGTCAGAAGTATGGCTGGCCTTTAGCATTAAGAGGGCAGAGATAGTACAGCAGCAAAAATGGACTCTAGACTCCCAAACTTCCATAGGAGGATACAAGCTGAGAAAACCATGCAGCTGCTCAGCTGGGTTACCTATTATGGAAAAGGAAAAAAATGACACAGAGGGTGGAGCCAAGAGCCATTGGGAATCATTCTGGGAAGGAATAGCACTGACTAGGGAGGCCTCCTATCAACAGCTTTTGAAGAACGGAGGCCTCCTGCCAACAGCCATGTGAGTGAGCCATCTTGGAAGAGGATCTTTCAGCCCCAGCCAAGCCTTCAGATGGCTGCAGCCCCACTGACACCTTGACCACAATCAGAATTACCAAAGTAAATTGCTCCTGAATTCCTGACACTCAAATACTGTGTAAGATAAAAATACTTATTTTTGTTTAAGGCTACTAAGTTTTGGGGTACTATGTCATATAGCAACAGATAACTAATATAGTGTTCAATAGATATTTGTTGAGGAAGTGAAATAAATCATATCTCAAGAAGAAATATAACTAAATCCCAGTATGCCCCATAATTAAAAAAATCTCCTGAAATGTCTACAACTAGGCCCTTGGCAGGGAGACAAG